AGAGATAACAGCTGTGAGTCGATGCTACAATCTGTACTCGCATGTATTTGCCTTTCTGTTTTTTCTTCTAGAATGTGTTTGTAACAGGAGGAAATACACAATTCCCCAACTTTCAAGAACGTCTGGAGAGAGAGCTCCTTGCTATCCGACCGTTCCAATCTACATTTAAAGTTTTCACGGCAGGTTCGTTGATTATTTTGCACCTTAAAACGCTTAAGTCTTATGAAAGAGATACATTGAAAAGGGAAATTTCAAGGTTAGTTTTATGTCCAGACACACATTCTCTATAACCCTGTCACGTGATCCCACCATTTGAGACTCTAAGGATCCAAATCGTGTGTAGTGAGAATGTACTATTGAGGTTTTCGACAGCTCATTCCTTTTGCTGACAAGGGACGTCTGTGCTCAGGCTACCGTATTGTTTCAATAATATGTTGACGTTATTGTTGTTCATTTATCGTTTTGAAAATTCTTCTAACCTTTTTACTCACGTTTATCCAGGTAACCCGGTGCTCGATGCATGGTACGGTGCTCGTAAATGGGCAAGGACTCTCAGCAACAACCTACGGACAGTCAGTGTTACTAGGGAGGAGTATGACGAGAAAGGCGGAGAATATCTCAAGGAACACTTCGCGTCAAACCTCTACGTAACTACCCCTTCCCAGTCATAGCGCACGCTCAATCCGTGGACGTCGTTCAAAGCAGTGATTAGTTTTCTTATTCCTTTGCATTTCGTTTGCTAACTTGCTTAAATGTATACGGTGGTTTATAGAGATACGGACTCAACAGTTTATGTAGTTGGTACACTTAAACCACACGTATTAGTCTTAAACATCATTTGAGTAAGAAAGAAATGTACTCTATACATTTTTTAGCCTGTGAAACCTATATCTGCTACAGTAGAAAACTTAAACCCAGTTCATTTGTCCCGCGCACACTGTTCGAAGCACGGAAAACTTATCAAACGGTTTGAAGTGGAAACGTCTTTGAAAAAAAGGGCGAACGTGCGCGTCTAAAACATCTTTTCTTCTATGGCATTACATCAGGGGTCAATTTTTCACTAAAGAAGAAAAAGCAAATGTGCACTTAAAAGGTAGCTTTCTTTTTACTCTAAAAGTTCTCATTTTTGAAAGCAGAGACTTCACGCTTAAATTCCTAAAACACAAAAGGCGTTTGTTATAAGCCTTGTGTTACATTGAAACTGACTGGCAATTTAACAGCGCTTTCCTACACGAATAGCGCTTTTGATAGAATTAATTGCAATACATAAATAAGTTGTAAATACAAACAAACTCAAATACACCTGTACACAAAAATTGATACAAAATAAACCAAGACAAGTATTTGTGCATGTCGAAATCTCTTTGAGCACGTACGGTGTGTTGTCTACGAGCCTTATCGACTCAGAGGAGGAAAGGAGAAAGAGTTGAACGAAAACCTTCCACACCCATCGGAAATCCTGACAAGAAGTTGAACACGTTCATAAGTAGTATAGGGCGCACTAAACGAACCATTTTTGTCATGATCAAGGCCGTCCTTACAAACACATAGGCTCCTTATATGTTCAGACTAATGCTTATGCTTGCCTCGCTAGTGAGCCGGGACCAGGGCCCGGTTGCATAAAATGTCCGTAACAACTACGGGTACACGTACGTGCACTCGTAACTTAAGTCAGTTGCATGAAATCGCTTAAGTGGTCCACTTAGGGAATTCACTTAAGTGGTTGCACTTAAGATTTTCGTAAGTGTTCACTTAAACGTCGTTTATGCAACAGAAATTGCGGGTGTTGCATAAAACTTTTTTTACGGGAAAAATAGCACGTAAATTTACGGGACCTATGCAGGTCCTGTATCGTCACTGTTTTTACTAAATTTAACGAGATCTTTTACTGAGAAGTAAAAAAAAGTATTTTTCTTCACGTAATTCGTTCTAATGCGCTTTGTTAACCTCTGATGTACACTTTTGTGAAAAAAGAAGAAGAACTATCATTTTCAGTAGATATTGAAGAAAAATAACGTTTGCATGCAAATTTCATTTTTTGAGAGGCTTAAAAGTGTTGGAAACGACTTGTAACTTTCTTTACACTCACCGATAGTTAGCTTAAAAAAAAGGGTGAATCGTTAATAAAGTACTATATCAAGGTTACGTGTGCCCTTAAGTGAGCCCGTAAGTTAAGTGAAAAAAAGTAATTTTTCTTCACGTAATTCGTTCTAATGCGCTTTGTTAACCTCCTATGTACACTTTAAAGCCGACGTTGTGAAAAAAGGAGAATTATCATTTTCAGTAGATATTGAAGAAAAATAACGATTGCATGCAAATTTCATTTTTTTTAAGGCTTAAAAGTGTTCGAAACGAATTAAAACTTTCTTTACACTCACCGATGGTTAGCTTAAAAAAAAAGAGTGAGTCATTAATAAAGTACTACATCAAAGTTACGTGTGCTTTTAAATGAACCCGTAATTTACCACGTAAAAGACTTAAGTGGGCACTTAAGTGTAGCTTTTATGCAACCGGGCCCAGGCTTCAAGGATACTGAGTGAAGAGTAGTTTGCTTTAAATTAGAAAAACGATAGAAAATATTTTCTGATGGTTATTTTGATAGCGTAATACATTAAGGTTGGTGCCAGTGCAAGGTTTGCAAATCATTAATAGTGCAAAACTATCCTCGCATTAGGAGTCGCAAAATCCTCAGCCGTCAAGACCTCAAAAGTTCGCGAACTGTCTAAAGGCATTTTCAAAGGCAGAGTTACCTTGACATATTCTACTGGCATCCAGCAAATTCTAATGTGACGTTATCACCAACAAGCACAAACGGTGCCCAGTATTTGACTGCACCAAACTCCTCAGATTCTCTCATGCAGTTCATCGCATGGTTTAAGGCTTCACTTGCACTTTTTCCTTTCACAAGATGTTGATAGAAATTTTTCATAAACTCAAGAGTGGCCTTGTCGTCAATCGCCCACAACGACACCAGAACAGAACGAGCACCGGCACCTAAAAACGCTCGTGCTATGCCAACCACGCCTTCTGCTTTGATCTCACCATGAGCACTATGACAACAACTGAGTACAACCAGTCTTGCACGAATCTGAACGCGCTTTACATCTTTCATCGTCAAAATGAAATCCATCTCACCATTATCTGGCGCCAGGGCAATTTCACCCGTTTCCATGCTGCCATGTGCAGCGATGTGCACCAAAGCAACCGAACCGAGTCGTCTTAACACCGCATCCTTTGTGGCCTGTCTTCCAATAAGAGGTGCACAACCCAGCATTTTACCAATTGTCTCAACTTCCTCTCTGGCATACGGCAACTGCTCCAACTCTGTCACATCTTGCACCCATGGATCACCCACAAGAAGCACGCCAGACTTACAGTGGTAATCTAACGGACAATCTGCAATCATTTTCAAGCTGCTGAGAGATGGAGCCACGCGAATTCTGAATGATTCACAGAGGTATCTGGAGTTTGGACCCTTAAACGCAGCAAAAGGGGCCAAGCAAAGTGGGCCTTCGGGGACAAATATGAGTTCACTTCCAGAAAAAAGATCTTGAGTAGGATCAATGACGATCTCGTAGAACGTATTCAAAGCACTTTTTTGAAGGTGTAAGTGCTGGATTTGTCTGCAATCTTGAGGTGATCTTTTAACTGTTAGTCTTTCGTCACTTGCCAATTTAAGTGAGCGATCTTCACATTCAACGTTATCTCTTGCGCCAATTTCCTGACAGACAAGTTCCACAAGAGACTCAAAGAAAGTGCTGATTTTGTTGTGCGTACTGATCTGGTTGCTTCTTAATTCAACTTCCTTTCCTTTCTGACAAACCCAGCAAACTAACTCGTTCTTTCCGAGCGCCATAAATATAGTATTCGGAGGAATGCGATTAGAGAGTTCATGAAAGGATCTGTTGCCTTTACCTGACTCAGCATCATTCAATTTCAATCCATAATTATGCGCCATAAGGTCTTTTAGACCTTGTGCCCGTCCTTGCTCAGCAGAAAACAAAGCTTTCGCAACCTTGCCTTCGGCTAACATCGAGCGCCAAAGCGCAGCGTATATTGTTTGGTATCGATCCCGTAAGCTTATTTTTCACTCGTCGTTCAGTTGAAGACGATCTCTGATATTATTTACCAAAGTAACACTAAGTTGGTAATACTCAATAGCCAATGAAAGTTGGCCTAGACATTCATAATAGTAACCAAGATTCCAACACGCTATTCCCTCTCCCAATGTCTCACCCGATTCTCTTGAAATCTGCCGTTGACGTTCAAAGTATTCTTTGGCTGTTTTAAAATCTCCAAGGCTGAGAATGTCGTTACCAAGACTCCCATAAGCCGCTCCCTCTCCCGATCTGTCACCCAATTCTTTAGCAATTTTTAGGAAACGTTCATGAAAGTTTACGGCTGTTTCCAAATCTCCTAGACTACTATGGGCGCTACCAAGATTGCCACACGCTCTTTCTTCTCCAGATTTGTTACCCAATTCTTTAGCAATTTTCAGGTCACGCTCGTAGTAGTCTATGGCTGTCTTATAATCTCCCAGACCTCTATAAGAGTTGCCAATATTGCTATAGGCTGTCCCTTCTCCTGATCGGTTCTCCAATTCTTTCGCAATTTTCAAATGCCTTTCATGGTAAGATAAGGCTGTTTCAAAATCTCCCAGACTAAGATGGGCGTTGCCAAGATTGGCATACGCTCTTCCTTCTGCCAGTCTGTCACACAACTCTTTCGCAATTTTCAGGTCGCGTTCGTGGTAGTCTATAGTTTTCTTAAAATCTCCTAGACAGCGATGAGCGATGCCAAGATTTGCATACGCTGCTCCTTCTCCCGATTGGTCACCCATTTCTTTTGCAATTTTAAGATGACTATCATAGTAGTCTATGGCTGTTTTAAAATCTCCCAGGCTGCGATGGCCGATGCCAAGATTGCCATACGCTCTTCCTTCTCCAGATTTGTCACCCAGGTCTTTCGCAATTTTCAGGTGACGTTCATGGTAGTCTATGGCTGTTTTAAAATTCCCCAGACTCTGATGGGTCATGCCAAGATTGCCGTACGCTCCTGCTTCTCCCAATCTGTAACCCAAGGCTTTCGCAATTTTCAGACTACAGTCAAGGTACTCTATGGTTGTTTTAAAATCTCCTAAACAGTGATGGGCGTGGCCAAGATTGCAATATGCCACCTGCTCTCCCCATCTGTCGCCCAGTTCTTCCGCAATCTTTAGGTGCCGTTGATGGTAGTGTATGGCCTTCTTGAAATCTCCTAGACTGTGGTGGGTGGTGCCAAGATTGGAATACGTAGCTCCTTCCTTCCATCTATGATTCATTTCCTGAGCAATTTTCAGGTCACTTTCATGGTACTCTGTGGTTGTTTTCAAACTTATCGGTCCGCCATGAAGGGTGATGCCAAAATTGTCATCCTTCGTGCGAGGATACTGTGAAAAAAACGCGTAAAACGTATGAACACGTCTCATGTAGCTTTGTAGTTTTGTTCAATTTCAAATTTCTACCTATTTCTACCCTTTTTCGACTAAAAGGTGTCTTAATGGATGCAGGGGCAATAATTTTCTAAATTGCTGAAAGAGAGAAGAAATCAACAACAGAGCTTAAAGACATTTAGCAAAATTCAGAAAATATCTCACTTTAGGTCATGTTAGATTGGTGTCCTCATGTGATCATCCTAAGTTTAATCACCGACTTGTAGCATATTATTTGTTGATTCCAGCCACAGAGCCTATTCTTTGAGTTCGATCACAAGAGGATTTGAATGGGTTGGCTGGTAGCCCTGAAACGACCAATTATTTTAGTGGTAACATGAAGGGAATATTGGTAACTGTGAACTGTGGAATTAGAGTTTTTGATGAAAGAAAACACATTGCATTTGAGATATTGTTGCACTGCTTTAAACCCGGGGCGTATAAAATGAAACAACTACGCGACTGACAAGCGACTCGAACGACTTCATGAAAGGAGAAACATCTGCTCGCACGGTATTTAACCAGTATTATCAACCTTAGCCTGCGTAGCAGGCGTCGAAAGGGGTAGGGGATAGGGGATAGGGAGGAAGGGAAAAAGAGGAGGGGGATTGGGGAGAGGGGGAGGGGACGCCTGCTCTAAGAACCCCCTTTTGTTCATATCTGCGGACGCTGGCGTCCGCAAATTCCTGATTGGCTGAGCGGTAATGAGTAACATATTGAAATGCGCGTTTCACATTTCAACAAACAGTCGAGATGGCAGCCGTAGACGTGGATGTCGTAGAGAGTGCTTTGAGGGATGTGAATTTATCCAGTGGTAGAGAAATTGTTTTAAAACCAGAGAAAGAATCAGCAGTAAGGGCTCTTTTAGCCGACAGAGATGTCCTGGCGGTTTTGCCGACCGGATACGGCAAGAGTTTAATTTACCAAATGTTTGTACGCGCGAAGAACTACGAGCTAAATGGTAATGCGGCGATTCTCGTCATTTCGCCACTGAAAAGAAGACCAGTTGCAGGAGATGGAATTGTTGGGCTACCCAGCGAAAGATTTAGCCAATTTATCGAACGATGACATTCGCCGATTTAACTTCAAAATTGTGTTTGCAACCGCCTAAAAAGTCAAAGAGAAGCCCTTCGGAGCAATGTTGATGGACTCCAAATCGAAGTTACATCGAAACATCTCGGCTATTGTGGTGGACGAATCGCACACGGTCGAGACATGGACAGGAAAAAAGCAGAAAGCTCTAACTTGTTTTTGCTGCTTCTAAAGAGTATTTGTGTAGCTACAAGGGATTTAGATTTTTATAAGCTTACTACTGAAATCCACTGGAAATTTTACACAACTGTAATGATTTCTAGTTCGCACCCTAGCATGAATCGAGCTTTGAGATTGAATGGATGCGATTAAAAGGGGGTGGTAGGCCTACACGACTTTTAGCTCATGCCAAAATGCTTATTCCAATAAAGTTGTTTTTATCTGCTGGGTAGATTATGCTCTGGAAGGTTCTGCATTTTACTGAGTTAATGTGATTTTAGCCGCATGTTTCACACTGAGAGGTCATGACATACATNATCGAGTATGATCTTTGTTGAGCGTGCCCTGAATGTTGCTAAGATACATTTTCGAGCCCAGGACTAATAGCCGTGCGCTTGTTATTGTGGGATCAGTTACGACCATCGATTTATCAATGAACGGATGCTCACATTCAAACAAGCCAGTTTGACGAGAGAAAACAAGGTTGGCTAGTCGAAAAGTTGGGCTGCGGCGACTTCAAAGGCTCGACGCTATTCCGGCAAATCCTCCTTTTCCTCTCCTCGACCAGGTAGAAGACAAAGGAGGCTCTGCTTACAAGCTGGTCTTTCCATCACCAACAAACAGATTTCTTTTTGCCTGTTTCCCGGGTTTGTTCAGTTATAGATGACAGAAGGTGTCAAAATGTGGAGATCAGTGCCCCACCATTTTTTTGCTCTCAGCACAATGGAGTTGGAAACTGGGAAATTCAAATTTCATTTCTTGAGCAAATATACACATTTCAAAAAAAAAAAATTTCTCTTGAATTGCATTTAAACTAAGAATGATATACGCACCCGAGCGTTATATATGTATGCCTACCGTATTGACATGGGCTGCTTATTTACAAATCCCAAAGTTGATTGAAAATAACAAACTTAGAATTTGTAAGGGTTCTTTAATTATGTGAGGGTGAACGACGGAGTTTGATTTTACGTTAATTCTTTGTACAGCTAGGCTAAGAGAGCAACTATAGGTGTCTGCTTTGCATTCTTTTGTTTAGCGAACTACGAGCTCCTTCAATTTGGCACATTCAATAGCACTGAGCCTCCACTGGTACGTAATTAAAGCATTTTCTCACCCTTACCTTTTCTCCAAGATTGTCTTTCAGCCTATTTTGTCCTCTCGCAGCCCTTTTCCGTAATTCCAACAACTTTCGGTTCTTTGGGTCAGTCTTGTAGTAGTTAAAATGTTAATTATTTGATATAAACAAGAATATTACAAGGCTACGTTTAGTGCATTGAGAGAACTTACTGTACAGCAAAGACTAATATTCAATTAAGATTGCTATTTTGTAGAATTGTGAAGAGTGGATATACCGGCAGTTTTGTCTATTTGATTGGAAACATACTCATGAACTAGAAAAAGCAGCACCAAGTTAGATCGGGTACGGGAAAAAGACTTTTACCTGAAACAGCATTATTTAAAAGTCGAATTCTTATTAGCTTTAATCCAGGGTTAAATGTAAACAGAGCATTTGAGTAGTGATGGTAACTAATATAACGGGTGATCATGATCGCCCTTCGAACAATTCGATCCTTAACTCTAAAAAAGGATACTGCTAATCCCTTATCACACCACCTAATGGCTTCGTTAAATTTATCCAACTGAACGCAAGCACTTGCACCTGAAAAAGAAAAAACAAATGCTCAACTACAATGCCTTTGGGCTAAGAAAGCAACGATAAATTGATCTATATGTGTTATATTAAACGACAGACTGTCAGTTAACGCAAGGAAAGTTTTCAAATATTCACGCACCGGCTGATTTTCTTCGGGAAAAAAATGTTGTCGAAGTGTATATGCAAGGTTAACCTACCCCGCACAAAAGCTTTTAGAAAAGATGGTTGCAATTCCACGGCCATTTTTGCATCATTCAGTGCTTCGGTGTAACTCCCTGCGAAAGAGATAATGCATTCAAAAACGTTACACACCCGAAACACAGAGCATAGCATGAAGATGAAGAAGTAACACATCTTTTTAGTTTGTATCATGTTTTCCCATTTCAGATCATGTAACGTTACTCTGGAGAACACTTTTTTTTTCGAATTTTGCCCTATCCAAGTGCGTATGTATACATAATTGAAAGAGCGTTTTCACATGTCGTCACGGTGGCCATATTTGCGTTCCAAAACAATGAAACAGCAGCCATGTTGGTGTCCCAAACAAATCCTGTGGTAGCTGGACTCTTTTCTTATGTATTAAAAAACGCTTTCTTTTGTTCCAATAAATTTGCATAGGTGCATGATGGATGTTGGCCACGTGAGTGAAAACGTTCTATATTACCTATTGATATTTATGTGCCAACCAGGAGTTTCACTCGTTACACATTAGTATATCAAAAACAGTGTTTGCAAACATAACCACGTGATATCTCCTATAGCTGACTTACTTAGCATTAAATCATCGCCGACTACAAAACCCCCACATAAAAAAGTCTCAGAAAGATGTTTAAGGCAACCAATAGCAACTTCTTACCCAAATTAAAAAGTGCTGCCGCCCTGTTGCTGTACAGTTTGGCGTTCAGTTCTTTATCCTTGCAGTTAACTTTAATGCCCTCTGTGTAGTAGTTAATGGCGCTGCTGAAATTCTTCTTGTTGTACTCATCGTTACCTTCATTCTTGTAAACGTCTGCAATTGCTGCAATGAAGTAATATATAATTATGTCTGCGAAATTTTTAATTTCTTTAAATTTAGAAATAAACTTTGCGTAATATTGGCTCTCGTCTGGTCTACTGTCAGCAGGGGTTGCCCGTGTAAAAAACACGGTGGTTTAAATCCCGACAAAATGTTTTTTGTAGAATTGATAAGGGCTTCATCGTATTGCTGAATGCAATTTTTCGTCCTTGATTTATGGCTTTTCCTCACCTTTTAAATTGTCATCATCAAACTGGAGAGTTTCATCAGCTTTTGATGTGACATCAGCTGCCTCTGGACTTTTCTTCATGACTGCTGTAGACTGGTGTGAGATTGGATCTTTTTTACCGGATACGGCAAGAGTTTAATTTACCAAATGTTTGTACGCGCGAAGAACTACGAGCTAAATGGTAATGCGGCGATTCTCGTCATTTCGCCACTGAAAAGAAGACCAGTTGCAGGAGATGGAATTGTTGGGCTACCCAGCGAAAGATTTAGCCAATTTATCGAACGATGACATTCGCCGATTTAACTTCAAAATTGTGTTTGCAACCGCCTAAAAAGTCAAAGAGAAGCCCTTCGGAGCAATGTTGATGGACTCCAAATCGAAGTTACATCGAAACATCTCGGCTATTGTGGTGGACGAATCGCACACGGTCGAGACATGGACAGGAAAAAAGCAGAAAGCTCTAACTTGTTTTTGCTGCTTCTAAAGAGTATTTGTGTAGCTACAAGGGATTTAGATTTTTATAAGCTTACTACTGAAATCCACTGGAAATTTTACACAACTGTAATGATTTCTAGTTCGCACCCTAGCATGAATCGAGCTTTGAGATTGAATGGATGCGATTAAAAGGGGGTGGTAGGCCTACACGACTTTTAGCTCATGCCAAAATGCTTATTCCAATAAAGTTGTTTTTATCTGCTGGGTAGATTATGCTCTGGAAGGTTCTGCATTTTACTGAGTTAATGTGATTTTAGCCGCATGTTTCACACTGAGAGGTCATGACATACATATCGATTGACTGTAGTTATTGCCCGGGAGTTATTGTTTTCTGGTCGGCAGGATTTGATGCAAGCGTATTTTCTTTGACCTCTTTTGAAGCGTAAAGCTTTTTATTACGGCTGAATAAGGGTTCCAGTTTTCTCCAAAGTGCCTTCTGGATCTGAATAATTAAGCGATTTTCTTTAGTCCGTGAGTGTAATGTTTTTCTGCAATGCTGTATCACGCTGGGCCCAGCTCGTCAGTTTTCCTTGCAGAATGTTAAATTACAAACACGCTCTGATACGCTTGGACTTTTAATCAATGGGAATCCCATTGATGAACAGCAATCCGCCAACACTGTACCTGGACTCTCTTTCCTCGCAGATTTCGAAAACAAATTTTCTAAAGACGCTCTTGTGCCCGAATTCTCAAAAGAGCACGAACAGAATCTACAACGATCGTTACATCCACCATCCTTTTTTCGTCCTCGTTTTGAACTTTTCGTGGGAGTCACGGATAGTTCCACGTTAAATTTCTGGTTGTCCAGAAGTGAGAATTTCTCGCTTCGATAAAATTAACATTTATGCAACGTGAGTTCCCGGCAAATCAAATAAATTTCCGCGTAACCACAGGGTTCCGCCTTGCGTTCTGATTGGCGAGTGTAGTAACACTTGATTGACAGCAAGCGTAATCGGATTACTAGAAAATTGGTGGGCGTTATGCAAAAACATAGGCTCTTAGAGCAGGCGCTCCCTTCCCTTTTCCCTTTCTCCCTCCACCCTCCCCCCTCCCCTTTTTGCGCCTGCCACGCAGGCTATATCAACCTAAAAACAAGTAAAATCCGAGGAAAATTTATGTTAGAAATTAACGTCTGGGTCTCCGAGGATGAGAAAGGCTCTTGATGCATCGAGTATGATCTTTGTTGAGCGTGCCCTGAATGTTGCTAAGATACATTTTCGAGCCCAGGACTAATAGCCGTGCGCTTGGTATTGTGGGATCAGTTACGACCATCGATTTATCAATGAACGGATGCTCACATTCAAACAAGCCAGTTTGACGAGAGAAAACAAGGTTGGCTAGTCGAAAAGTTGGGCTGCGGCGACTTCAAAGGCTCGACGCTATTCCGGCAAATTCTCCTTTTCCTCTCCTCGACCAGGTAGAAGACAAAGGAGGCTCTGCTTACAGGCTGGTCTTTCCATCACCAACAAACAGATTCCTTTTTGCCTGTTTCCCGGGTTTGTTCAGTTATAGATGACAGAAGGTGTCAAAATGTGGAGATCAGTGCCCCACCATTTTTTTGCTCTCAGCACAATGGAGTTGGAAACTGGGAAATTCAAATTTCATTTCTTGAGCAATATACATATTTCAAATTTTTTTAAAAAATTTCTCTTGAATTGCATTTAAACTTAGAATGATATACGCACCCGAGCGTTATATATGTATGCCTACCGTATTGACATGGGCTGCTTTTTTACAAATCCCAAAGTCGATTGAAAATAACAGACTTAGAATTTGTAAGGGTTCTTTAATTATGTGAGGGTGAACGACGGAGTTTGATTTTACGTTAATTCTTTGTACAGCTAGGCTAAGAGAGCAACTATAGGTGTCTGCTTTGCATTCTTTTGTTTAGCGAACTACGAGCTCCTTCAATTTGGCACATTCAATAGCACTGAGCCTCCACTGGTACGTAATTAAAGCATTTTCTCACCCTTACCTTTTCTCCAAGATTGTCTTTCAGCCTATTTTGTCCTCTCGCAGCCCTTTTCCGTAATTCCAACAACTTTCGGTTCTTTGGGTCAGTCTTGTAGTAGTTAAAATGTTAATTATTTGATATAAACAAGAATATTACAAGGCTGCGTTTAGTGCATTGAGAGAACTTACTGCACAGCAAAGACCAATATTCAATTAAGATTGCTATTTTGTAGAATTGTGAAGAGTGGATATACCGGCAGTTTTGTCTATTTGATTGGAAACATTCATGAACTAGAAAAAGCAGCACCACTAAGAAGTTAGATCGGGTACGGGAAAAAGACTGTTACCTGAAACAGCATTATTTAAAAGTCGAATTCTTATTAGCTTTAATCCAGGGTTAAATGTAAACAGAGCATTTGAGTAGTGATGGTAACTAACGGGCGATCATGATCGCCCTTCGAACAATTCGATCCTAAACTCTAAAAAAGGATACTGCTAATCCCTTATCACACCACCCAATGGCTTCGTTAAATTTATCCAACTGAACGCAAGCACTTGCACCTGAAAAAGAAAAAACAAATGCTCAACTACAATGCATTTGGGCTAAGAAAGCAACGATAAATTGATCTATATGTGTTATATTAAACGACAGACTGTCAGTTAACGCAAGGAAAGTTTTCAAATATTCACGCCCCGGCTGATTTTCTTCGGGAAAAAAATGTTGTCGAAGTGTATATGCAAAGTTAACCTACCCCGCACAAAAGCTTTTAGAAAAGATGGTTGCAATTCCACGGCCATTTTTGCATCATTCAGTGCTTCGGTGTAACTCCCTGCGAAAGAGATAATGCATTCAAAAACGTTACACACCCGAAACACAGAGCATAGCATGAAGATGAAGAAGTAACACATCTTTTTAGTTTGTATCATGTTTTCCCATTTCAGATCATGTAACGTTACTCTGGAGAACACTTTTTTTTTCGAATTTTGCCCTATCCAAGTGCGTATGTATACATAATTGAAAGAGCGTTTTCACATGTCGTCACGGTGGCCATATTTGCGTTCCAAAACAATGAAACAGCAGCCATGTTGGTGTCCCAAACAAATCCTGTGGTAGCTGGACTCTTTTCTTATGTATTAAAAAACGCTTTCTTTTGTTCCAATAAATTTGCATAGGTGCATGATGGATGTTGGCCACGTGAGTGAAAACGTTCTATATTACCTATTGATATTTATGTGCCAACCAGGAGTTTCACTCGTTACACATTAGTATATCAAAAACAGTGTTTGCAAACATAACCATGTGATGTCTCCTATAGCTGACTTACTTAGCATTAAATCATCGCCGACTACAAAACCCCCACATAAAATGTCTCAGAAAGATGTTTAAGGCAACCAATAGCAACTTCTTACCCAAATTAAAAAGTGCTGCCGCCCTGTTGCTGTACAGTTTGGCGTTCAGTTCTTTATCCTTGCAGTTAACTTTAATGCCCTCTGTGTAGTAGTTAATGGCGCTGCTGAAATTCTTCTTGTTGTACTCATCGTTACCTTCATTCTTGTAAACGTCTGCAATTGCTGCAATGAAGTAATATATAATTATGTCTGCGAAATTTTTAATTTCTTTAAATTTAGAAATAAACTTTGCGTAATATTGGCTCTTGTCTGGTCTACTGTCAGCAGGGGTTGCCCGTGTAAAAAACACGGTGGTTTAAACCCCGACAAAATGTTTTTTGTAGAATTGATAAGGGCTTCATCGTATTGCTGAATGCAATTTTTCGTCCTTGATTTATGGCTTTTCCTCACCTTTTAAATTGTCATCATCAAACTGGAGAGTTTCATCAGCTTTTGATGTGACATCAGCTGCCTCTGGACTTTTCTTCATGACTGCTGTAGACTGGTGTGAGATTGGATCTTTTTTTCTAACAACTGTTACTGGAGCCTGATAAGAGAAATGGATGATTAGGTCCTCATCCATGTGTTTGTTTTTAACACGATCTGCTGTATTCGTAGTCTGGTGTAGACTGGTGTAAGATAAGCCTAATATTTTCTAACAACTGTTACTTGAGACTGAGAAGAGAATGGAGGATTTAGTCCAGGCCCACGTTCTCATGCACTCCGGATTCTCTCTATCCGCGCAATTATACATTAGGGAATGAAATAACACAAAATAGTTAATCCTGAGTTTCATCAATGTTTAATACATTTCTTTTGTTTTATTTCTCTGACGGTCCATCAGCCAAGTATGAATTTCAGGATATATCGAAATTTGTCTATTATAACTGTATAATATAGAGAATACTTCATGGAAAGTGCTGGCGGCGTACGGTATTTACGCTCGAGTTGTTGACATATCAGAAATCGAACGAGTAAGCGCAGCGAACGAGTAAGATTTCTGATACAAAAACGAGTGCGTAAATACCGTACAAAGCACTTTCCATGCGGTATTGTGTTTATTATATACATACTGAGACATTCATCATTTTGGCGGCCTTTTTATTTTAAATCCTTTAAAATTGCTAAAATTTGCCGCTACACACTTACCGCAAAACGACAACGAAAACGAAGTATCAGTTTTTTAGTAAAAACGTTTGTGTTAAAACCATAAATGATGGTAAGGATATGAGATAATCCAAGAGCTACAAGTAATCTTAACCGTTTGTTCTCAATGCACAATTAAAAATAAGTGAATCTAGGTAAAATGGCCGGTTTCAATATAAGCTTAACCTTAAATGAAAGGCAAAGTAGCTCAGACAAAAAGCACAACAAAACCTTACGTCTCGTTCTGTTTTTCCCTTTCCGCTGTTGTTTCGCCGGCTCTCTACTGTTTTCTTTATCGACAGTGAAACAAACGAAACTATTCCACTCCATTTCCGAAATTTTTTTCACTTTTTTAGCGAGAAAAACTCTTTGAGTAAAACTTTTTTCGTTGCATGTGATGTGTGCGAAGCGGCGTTGCAAGCTGCAATAAAAGGCGGGAATTTTGGCGCGAAACTCACACACCTCTGTGGCTTCTGATTGGACGTATCATTTTTTTCACGTGTGAAAACCATCGTTCGCTCCTCTGATTGGCTAGAGCTAATTTGCGTACGAAAATTTACGACATAGCTTTTTGGTGAGTATTTCTCAGTATGTATATAATAAAGACCAATATAGGTTGTCTTCCTTTCTTTTCGGTTGTTTTATCGCAGGTTGCATTACTCAGGCCACTTAAGGCCTGACTATCTAACTGAATACGCATATTTTGATAAAATGCTTTTTTGAATGGTTTGCTTCAGTGTTGTCTTTCATGTACAACTGTTAGAAGATAGATTTAATTTACGGCAAACGGCAAACGTCAGACTCAAGTTGAGAATTTCTTTGAGTAGCCTTGCGGCTAAAAACAATCCAAAGCAACTGTTATAGACAAAATTAACGTAAACCAACTAATTTGGGAGTAGGAGTAATGAATATTAAAGCACAAGTTAAAGGAAAACTTGGTCACGTGGAACAAATTCACGTTTTCCGTTTGCCGTACACGTGAATCTAAATCCCTCTGTTATCAGAAGGAGGCGTGTTTTCAATTCTTTCGTGTCCCATATTTTCAAGCATTTAGGTAATTGTGTCGCCCTAGAATTCAGCAAATAGTTGTTTATCTTTCTGTAAGTATTATTTTGAGTTTATGTTGCTGTCCCTTCGAGGTCCTTCGNTAGGTAAAATGGCCGGTTTCAATATAAGCTTAACCTTAAATGAAAGGCAAAGTAGCTCAGACAAAAAGCACAACAAAACCTTACGTCTCGTTCTGTTTTTCCCTTTCCGCTGTTGTTTCGCCGGCTCTCTACTGTTTTCTTTATCGACAGTGAAACAAACGAAACTATTCCACTCCATTTCCGAAATTTTTTTCACTTTTTTAGCGAGAAAAACTCTTTGAGTAAAACTTTTTTCGTTGCATGTGATGTGTGCGAAGCGGCGTTGCAAGCTGCAATAAAAGGCGGGAATTTTGGCGCGAAACTCACACACCTCTGTGGCTTCTGATTGGACGTATCATTTTTTTCACGTGTGAAAACCATCGTTCGCTCCTCTGATTGGCTAGAGCTAATTTGCGTACGAAAATTTACGACATAGCTTTTTGGTGAGTATTTCTCAGTATGTATATAATAAAGACCAATATAGGTTGTCTTCCTTTCTTTTCGGTTGTTTTATCGCAGGTTGCATTACTCAGGCCACTTAAGGCCTGACTATCTAACTGAATACGCATATTTTGATAAAATGCTTTTTTGAATGGTTTGCTTCAGTGTTGTCTTTCATGTACAACTGTTAGAAGATAGATTTAATTTACGGCAAACGGCAAACGTCAGACTCAAGTTGAGAATTTCTTTGAGTAGCCTTGCGGCTAAAAACAATCCAAAGCAACTGTTATAGACAAAATTAACGTAAACCAACTAATTTGGGAGTAGGAGTAATGAATATTAAAGCACAAGTTAAAGGAAAACTTGGTCACGTGGAACAAATTCACGTTTTCCGTTTGCCGTACACGTGAATCTAAATCCCCCTGTTATCAGAAGGAGGCGTGTTTTCAATTCTTTCGTGTCCCATATTTTCAAGCATTTAGGTAATTGTGTCGCCCTAGAATTCAGCAAATAGTTGTTTATCTTTCTGTAAGTATTATTTTGAGTTTATGTTGCTGTCCCTTCGAGGTCCTTCGAGTTTGCCTCAGCCGAAGAAGTAGTTAGACGAGTTTGCCTCGTAGTAGTCGTTTGGTGCGTTTGTCTCGCTGTTTTGACAAGTTTGGGTCTTGTATCGCAGTACATGCACCCCTAGCGTAAATAACAATTGTCTCGCTGTAACAAGTTGTAGAGATACAGTCTCAATTTTGTGGTCACCTTGTATCCTTAATTGTCTCGCAGTACATTTGCCTGTCTCCTACAATTAAAACCGCTGAATAAAGAAGTCACCCGCCATATTCTTCCATAATGAAGGGAATTTTTTTTTCAAATCATTTTGTGTTCACTGATGTGAAACCAAAACAAAAATATCCATCCGCTTTCCTTCTTATTCGATCGAGCAACCGTTGCAATCGTTACAGAGTCAGACTCGTCCAGTAAGATAATAAAAGAAGGAAAAAAAATCACATACACATGTTTGAATGATGACTTTTCTTCTTTACATATTTTAATAACAGCAAAGAAATCTTGCACAACTTCGTCATCACCGATTCCGAATGAATGTCATTCGTCAAGGAGAACTGTTTCAGTTCAGTTACATTTAACATTCGAAAGCTAATAACTTCCTAAACTGTTCTTATCACGACTTACCTAATGAAATCCCCTGACAGTTGCCTTCTTCCTTAAAACGTTTCGCTTTCAGCTTTCCAATAGATACTGACACACGTCACATAATGGAAAAGCATGATTGTACGGATCTTACCTCAGCCCTCCCATCAGCTGGATCTTTCGAGTTGTTTGCCCAGGAAACGTAAGTAATACAGTATCCCAATTTGTCCTATTGAAACCGATTGACCATTTGAAAACTTCACAAAATTTCAGAGCTTGCTTTTATCTGATCTAAGTAGATTCAACTATCAAACATTCACTCCTGAAACAAGAAGCTCAATATCCTTAATGATCATAAATATTCCTTTTTGCAGAGAACAAAGCATGTTTACGCACCGTCGCCCTTGCACAAATCTGCGCATTTTGAAACAACTTGAAACAAGATTTAAACCACTTAACTTAAATCTAAAAGTGATAACGGCTAACCAATTTGGAAGACGCTGTTTCACACACCCAAATGATTTCATGACCTTTCATGGTGACTGAATATTGACTCACTCACTGATATCTGAGGAGCTCTGCTTCGCTCTGCACCTGGCTATGACTACAACATGAAGAAAGAAAAACACCATTTTACATTGAGAAAGCGAAGAATCCTTCAATGATTTTCTATTTTAAGAATTCAGACAAGAGCTTTGATAATGTTGCTGTTAGAGGCGAGGAGCGCAGTTTTAGGCCTCTTGTAAATTCGTTGAAGGAAAGTTATGCCTCAGCCTACAATTGAAACTCCCGAATAAAGAAAAGTCACCATGTTTATTCATAATGAAGTGAATTATTTTAAAATTATTAAATAAATGTCTTTACTAGCTAACAAAAATATCCATCCGCTTTCCCTACCTGAGCTAGCCTGTGAGCAGCATTTCGCATCGACTTTTTCGATGCAGATATTCAAATTCCAAGATCTGCTAGCAAGCTCTCCTTCCTTTTCCCGCCCCGTCCCCAGAGCGCCCCGGAGAGCTTGCTCGCAGACTATATTTGAACAACTGGAGCCGCCACAGAAAATATCCATACCATACCAAAGACAACTTCCTTATTTTAACCCCCTCTTGACTTCGGAAATACCAAAATGGGTTACCCCCATGCCCTCGGAATTCCATAATCGTTAACCCCCCTTCCGGCTTCCATCCAAATTTTCCACTTTTTCGACAAACCCCTCGGAATTCCGGGCAGTGTCGTAAATACGACCAATTTCACGCTTACTTTCTGCAAAATATTTCAAATGACTCCACCTCTGTACTTCCAGAAATTCTGGAATGAAACTTTTTCAAAAAAATAGCCCACTTCGGAAAAGAGTGATAGCCTGGGACCCAAAATAGGCACGTGCCCATTTATGGAATTATTTGGTGGGACGCGAATGTCAGTAAACAAACATGACGGAAAGTGAAGTGGAATGTTTCAGCGGGTTTTAAACAGCTCAAAATAGCAAAAAGGAAGGTGGAATTCAAAGAAAAAAGGCTGAAAGTGTGAAGCTGAAGGAAAAAGATGTACCAGGGTGAATTTTACCTCGAGAAACAAGAGAAGAATGCAGCGTGAAACAGCTTCAAAGATGGCTTCTTTGCGGTGAAGCCAAAACAACCGCAAAGAAAGCGCAGCTCGTACAAAAATAAGTACGCGTGGACCGGGAAGTTCCTGAAGTTATTTGTGCACAAAAAACACAACAACTTGCACGTCTCGTCATAATCTTCAAGGTGGCTGTTCGACTTGTCCCCCCAAACAATCCCATATATGAACGCGCGCTTAGTTTGGTTCCCAGGCTATTACTCTTTTCCGAAGTGAGCTGTAGAAGTTAAACCGCTGTTAAACATGCAACCTGCATTAACTTTACATTGTCGCAAACAGGTACGGAACCTTAAAATATAATAGAATATCTTGTGATGATTAGAGCGTTTAGTTTCGGACTATTAGTGACCATTCATATGCTCCGTTTCTTCCAACAAATCGGCAGAGATCTGAAAACCTTTTTAATAATTCCTAAGGTGAATGCTTATGCTGTATTTTTTTCTCACTTTAATGACAGGCTTTGCAATCCGCCATAAAGAAGCTGAAGAAAACGAAAAGAAAAGATTGTAGCCATGCAAATAACTTTTGAACTGGATTCTGAGGTGAAAAATGAATTTAACATCAATAGCCCATTTCCGAGTTTACCCCAACCTCTGTTATCAAGCCTTTGATATGAAAATGATTTTTTATTCTCATGCAAATAAAACTCATTTACACAAAAATTAAAAAGGAAAAAGCAAATGTGGACTTAAAAGTAGCTTTCTTGAGCACGTACGGTGTCTACGAGCAAGCCTTAACTACTCAGTGGACGAAAGGAGAAAGAGTTGAACGAAAACCTTCCACACCCTTCGGAAATCCTGACAAGAAGTTGAACACGTTCATAAGTAGTATAGGGCGCACCAAACGAACCATTTTTGTCAAGGCCGTCCTTACAAGCACATAAGCTCCTTATGCTCAGACTAATGCTTATGCTTGCCTCGCTAGTGAGCTGGGACCAGGCCCCAAGTTGTTCAAAAGGTGGATAATGTTATCAACTAGATAATTTCTATCTAGTGCACGGCGCGATTGGTTTTCCTAATACTTATTCGCTGTACTTTGGTTTATAAGTTGCTTGAATAACGCTATCCAACGTTTGAACAAGCAGAGCCAGGTTTCAAAGATAAGTTCGATGTCTGACCCAGCAGACGATCTTTACTTAATTCAGGTCGACCCAAATTAGAGTTTGGCTCGTCTCGTGCAAAGTTCGACGTTTGGCTTAGGCCTAAGCCTAAAATACATCAAAGATAAATAGTTTTTCTATACAACCATAAAAACTCCATATGTGAATAATTTATGAAGTCGATATCCTCCATCGAGTTACCAGCTAAAGTGGTACTTGGTTCTCCTAAGTTACTGTATGCAGATCCTTTCCTAGGCACCTACCTGACAAAGAGAAAAACGTAACAACAAGTTTACTCTCCGGGGAACACCCTGAAATCAATAATCTATATCTAACACTCCTAGTATCGTAGTATAATGGTGAATTTGCGTGTCCCTTATCTTACACTAGCAGAGTCTGCACAGGTGAACCAGCAAGTTTACCCAAAAGAACAATTACAGTACATCTCATCCAGGGTAAAAAGTCTCATTCACGAAATATATCCTACTTATTCCCTGGCCTCAGATCATAACACTAATTTATCTGATCCGACACCTGTTATAGGAGCAAAACAAAAAAGGCGATTTTCGAAATGAGAAATTTTTTTCTAAAAATAGAGTGCCAAATATTATAAAAAGGCGATATTAAAGTTAAGTCCATTAAAAAACCAAAAGATGGCCTACCAAAATATAGTTTATTGAAACGCTAAGGTACTTCAGCATCGTATTTGTAAAACAACTAAAAATTAAACAGAAAAGGAGCCCAACAAAAAACCCAGAACCTATTTGGGATTAATTAGTCTTTGTTAATAAAGTAAACAAATTCACTGTTATACGTCAATTGATGTAAGCTTACCGCCATAGATTCTATTTCTTTTAATTTTTTTTAAATTGTTGCTGCATACTTAATGAGCACTGGAGTCACTCACACCTAAAGCATTTCCCTCCCTAGAGCAGTAGCGTCACTAATGAAGCCGGGTTGCTCTGAGGATAAGAATGAACGCAAAGTATTTACAGTTTTTGTCAGCTGAGACTTTCAATATGGATTCACAAGGATTTTATTCAATCGACAGTCTGAAAGTTTTTCCAATCTGATAGAATTCTGAAACATTTTAGTGTAAAATTGATTGCTTTTTATGCATGCTAGAATAGAGATTTGACAAAGTTGCAGCAACGATCAAAGTAATCAATTCACTAAAAGAACCTTATGGGTTACGCTTGAGCTGGTTTTTATTTAATGTCTCTAGATCTCAGAAAAACTAAGACCAACGATTTTTTTTTCAGTCGCCAATATGTTTTTAGTAAGAGTAATTCTTCCTAAATTCCCATCAAGTGAAAAGCAGGAGGCACGGCATGCGGGGTAACACTTCTATACGCACTTTCCTTTCTATCTAAATACGGAAATGAAATATTCCTAAACAAAGCACCGACTACTGTGTGTAATTATAAATTTGAAATAAATACTGTACAAAACCATCTCCGGAAATATAGACTTACCTAGAATTAAAGGAAATTTATTCACATAAAGCGAACTCTAATGTGACGTCATCACCAATGAGCACAAACGGTGCCCAGTACTTGACTGCGCCAAACTCCTCAGATTCTCTCATGCAGCTCATTGCTTGATGTAAGGCTTCACCCGCACTCTTGCCTTTTACAAGATGCTGATAGAAATGTTTCATGAACTCAAGAGTGGCCTTATCGTCAACTGCCCACAAAGACACGAGAACAGAGCGAGCACCGGCTCCCAAAAATGCCCTTGCTATGCCTACTACACCTTCTGCTTTGATCTCTCCTTGAGCACTATGACAACAACTGAGTACAACCAGTCTTGCTCGCATTTGAACACGCAGTACGTCTTTCAAGGTCAACATGAAATCCTTCTCACGATTATTTGGTGCCAAGGCAATTTCGCCTGCTTTCATGCTGCCATGTGCAGCAATGTGCACCAAAGCAACCGAACCGAGTCGTCTTAATACCTCATCCTTTGTGGCTTGTCTTCCAATAAGAGGTGTACAGCCAAGAATTCTACCAATCATCTCTACCTCCTCTCTGGCATGTGGCAATCTTGGTAGTTTTGTCACATCTTGCACCCACGGGTCACCCACAAGAAGCGCGCCAGACGTGACGTGGTAATCTACCGGGCAATCGGCAATTATTTTCAAACTGGTAAGAGATGGAGCTATGCGAATTCTGAATGATTCACTGAGGTATTTGGAGTTTGGACCCTTCAATGCGGCAAAAGGAGCCAAACAGAGTGGACCTTCGGGGACGAATAGGATTTCACTTCCCAAAAAAAGATCTTGAATAGGATCAATGATTACGTCGGACAAAGTATTCAAAGAATTGTGTAAGTTCTGGAATTGACTGCCATCAAGAGTTGATCTTTGAACTGCTAGTCTTTCATGTCTTTTGTCATTCAGCAATTTAAGTGAGCGATCTTCACACTCCACATAATCTCTTGCACCAATTTCCTGACAAACAAGCTCCACAAGAGACTCAAAGAAGGAGCTAATTTCCCCCTTTGAATCTACTGGGTTTATTCTTAATTCAAGGGCCGTTCCTTCCTGACAAACCCAGAAAATTAATTCGTTCTCTCCAAGCGCCATAAATATCGTATTCGTGGGAAAGTGACTGGACAGTTCAAAAAAGGTTATCATGTCTCCTTCATCTGACTCAGCGTCTTTCACCTCTAATCCATAATTTAATGCCATAAGGTCCTTAAGACCCTGTGCTCGTCCACGATCGGCAGAAATCAAAGCTTCTATAATCTTGCCTTCTGCTAACAACAAGCGCCAAAGTGCAGTGTATGCTGTCTGGTATTGATCTCGTAAGTTTATTTTCCACTCGTCGTTCAACGGAAGACGATCTCTGACTTTCTTGAACGAACTAATACTTAGTTGGTAATATCCAATAGCCACTGGAACTTGGCCTTTATATTTAAAACAAGTACCAAGACTTGTGTACGTTGTTCCCTCTCCCAATTTGTCACCCAATTCTTTTGAAATTTTCAAGTCACGTTCAAGGTAGTCTATGGCTCTTTCAAAATCTCCCAGATGGCTATAGGTGGCGCCAAGATTATGATACGCCATTCCTTCTCCCGATATGTCACCCAATTCTTTGCAAACTTTTAGGGAACGTTTGTCGTAGTCTATGGCTGTTTCAAAATCTTGCAGCTCGCGATGGGCGTTGCCAAGACTGCCATACGCCTTTCCCTCGACTGATCTGTCACCCAATTCTTTCGCAACTTTTAGACTAAGTTCATAATAGTGTATTGCTTTCTCTAAATCTCCCAGACTTTGATGGGCACTGCCGAGATTGCCATACGCTTTTTCTTTCCCCGAACTGTCACCCAGTTTTTTCGCAATTTTTAGATGAGATTTATGGTAGTCTATGGCTGCTCCAAAATCTCCCAGTCTGTCATGGTCACTGCCAAGATTGCTATACGCAAAACCTTCCCCTGATTTGTCACCCAATTCTTTCGCAATTTTTAGTTGACGTTCATGGTAGTCAATGGCTGTTTTAAAATCTCCGAGACTGCGATAGATGATGCCAAGATTACCATACGCCGTTCCTTTTCCGCATCTGTCACCCAATTCTTTTGCAATTTTTAGATGACTTTGATGGTAGTCTATGGCCGTTTTAAAATCTCCCAGACTTTGATGGTTGCAGCCAAGGTTGCAATACGCCAGTCCTTCTGCCGATCTGTCACCCATTTCTGTCGCAATTTTTAGATCACGTTCATGGTAGTCTAGGGCTGTTTTAAAATCTCCCAGAAGATGATGGGCACAGCCAAGATTGCTATACGCACCTCCTTCTCCCGATCTGTCACCCAGTTCTTTTGAAATGTTTAGATAATGTTCAAGGTAGCTTATGGCTGTTTTATAATCTCCCAGAGTACGATAGGTGTTGCCAAGATTGCCATACGCCTCTCTTTCTCTCAGTCTGTCACCCAGTTCTTTTGCAATTTTTAGATGGCGGTCAAAGTAGTTTATAGCCGTTTCAAAATCTCTCAGACTGTGATGGGCGTCACCAAGATTGCCATAAGCAGTTCCTTCTTCCGATTTGTCACCCAATTCTTTCGCAATGTTAAGATGACGTTCATAGAAGTCTATGGCTGTTTTAAAACTTCCCAGACCGCGATGGGCGTCACCAAGAGAGCTATACGCATCTCTTTCTCCTGATCTGTCACCCAATTCTTTTGCAATTTTAAGATAACGTTCGTGGTAGCAAACGGCTGTTTTAAAATCTTCCAGACTTTCATGGACTCTGGCAAGATCGATATACGCCACTGACTCTCCTGATCTGTCACCCAATTCTTTTGTAATTTGTAAGTGACGTCCATGGCAGCCTATGGCTGTTCTAAAATCTCCCATACTCCAATAAGCACTGCCAAGAAGGCAATACGCCAATCCTTCTTCCGATCTGTCACCCAATTCTTTCATAGTTTTCAAGTAACGTTTATGGTAGTCTATGGCTCCCAGATTGCGATGGGCGGAGCTATGTTTGCCATACGACTCTCCATCTCCTGATCTGTGCTCAAAGTTGTCACTTTTACTTAGGTTTTTAGCTGTGCAAGTTGCATTCGTACAAGTTTTCTGTGAAACAAATTACATACAATGTATGACATAATAATTTACATTAAAGTTTCTTAAACTCAATCTTCCATCTGGAAATAAAAGTAATCAGCTTCATTTTTTCTTTTAATTCGGAAAAAATTAGTTAAAGTTTGAGGATGAGCCTGCCCCAAATAGTTATAGCCAGATCTTACTCCTTTCTTTTTTAACCCGGTTTTTAAGAAGCCCAACAACAACAACAAAAGCAAAAAATAATATATAGATTTAGCCATGGTTAAAAGCGAAGCTCTCGATAATATTTATAGTTTGTTCAAACAAAATATAAAATCGTGTAATGCTAAGCGGCGAAGGCAACGCTGGAGAACGGTAAAAAAACAACAATAGGTCTAATTAGGAAAAAAGCAACCCTT